AATAGGAAATCTACAGGACTAGACACAATAAATTGTTCCAATTTTATTTTTTAAGTAGGGGTTACCAAGTCCAAGCAGGGGCATTCAGTACAAACTCAATGCTTTATTTTTTTAATAAAGGCAACAAATAAGAACTTGAAAAATATATTATCAGCCATTAGACTTAGATCTGCATACCAAAATAAGCAATCATTAACTGACAATCCAGCAAGCAAAACAAAGAGGGAGAGGGACAGAGAAGGGAAATAATGATAAAGCTACCCAACTAAGCAAAGCAGCACTGAAAAAAGATAAAAGAACTCTAATGTTTCTATCCACACATATTTGCTAATTTTACCTTGCTGGCTTCTCCAGGAGTTTGGGCAGAAGATTTGAATTCTAGACCCAATAGAGAAAATTTGCTTCAAAAACCCTTTTCTGATTTAAGAATCTATACTCAATGTTGACTGAAGACAATGAAATGCTCTGTCCTCTGAATACCAGTGCCCGCCTCTCGCTAAAAGGTAATAAGGGTTTTACAGGTATAGAATACTTAAACTACTAGCTAGTCCATAGACCCTTCATTTAAGGCTCCCATAGATGGATTGCAAAAATTCAGACAAGCATTAGATAGCATGGGGGAGGGACCCAAAAGTCTAATGAACATCTGGAATTTTGCAGCTCAGATATCATAGTCCTACCATCACTCCATTATAGTGCTATGTGAAAAGTGAGCTAGTATATACATTACATTAGCCTACACAATGTATTGCATAAAATAGTTTATTGAATAAAACATAATTGACTGGGAATACAGATGTGCTAAACAAAATCCAAACATTTCTGGCAAGCCTAATCATTTTTCTCTCCTTTTGCAGACAAGATTACCCCTCAGCAGGTAAGGAAAAGCACTTGTATGAACTTTGGCAGAATTGAGAGATGGATTTAAAATGTCAGCATAAATCAACAGGAATGGCAGCACTTTATACTATCCTGTGAAAGTCATTGATGCAGAAGTGTGACCTTTGATAATAGCATCATGAGATCACAGTCATTGCTACTTTATATTAATCTAAGAATTGTTCTCTGATCTCTGGAATCAAAATTGAAATCTCTGGAGAGACTTAAAGTTGCACAATCAAGTTCTTAGATAAAAATACAACACTCAAAACTGGGTCTAAAAATTACATATTAAGAGTGTCTTTCATGAGCAGAATAACATATGTGTCACACATGTTATAAATCATGTGAAATTACACTCTCATAAGAAGGGCTGGCAAGCCTTCAGTGTCTAATATTATAATATTAGCTAAGAAACAAAGACTAAAGAATTACATAATTAATCTTTTGCTAAGAAAGCTCAATGTTGTAATGAAAAAAAAGCCACAACTTTTTGAATGATAAATTATTGTTCTTATAGTCTGCCCAGGCATACTAGTGCATCTCACCATTATTCTGCATTTGTATGGAATGATGTTTAACATACAGTAAAGGAGGGTATGAATTGGCATTTTTATTATTTGAATGGGCTTGTCCGAATCTATTCCTGGACACAATTTCTCATTACTTTAGTATTTCTTCTTCAGAAGGTTTGTATCATGGGAAAAACAAATAATCTTATCAGTATTATCCAGAGTTCTAGTTTCTTTGTGAACTCTTTTTATTTACAGTTTTACAAGATGCTTTCTGCAAAGAAGAGCAAAATAAGCTCTAAATTTAAAGTCCAAGGTCAGTTTCTTATAATGACTGTTCAACCACCCAAACTGCTCTGAAAGATTCACCAGCTAGACAACTTGCCATTTGCAAAAGCACATGAAGGCATTCCTCTTCTGAATGCAGATTAAATCTTTCACATAACACCACCATGCTTAAATTTACATGATTTTAGAACCTATGGATCTTCACTATTTATTTCCCACAATTCCCAAAATTGCCATGAGTTCCTCTTTTTCTCTTCCTGATAACTAGTTACTGATTCTTATATAGCCTTTCATTTTATTGTTCATGGAAGATACAAATGTGATGTCTTTATCAAAGTTCAGCTTATCTATGCTAGTTCTCTTTTTTTCTTTATTCCTTTTTTAAAAAAAAAGTTTTAGTATTTATTTTTCTATCAAATTCATATAGCTGCCCATATCACAAAACAAGTAACTCTGGACATCATACAACTTGTCTTCCATTCACCTGTCCCTCAATCTCTTCTCCTTCTCAAAATGCCTTTCTCTATTATATTCAACATGATTTGCAGTTGTATATAGTCTAGTTGATTATGCAGCTTGCAAGACCCTTTTCTACCTAAATGTCTCTTCCATACATAGGCTTAATATGATTACAGAGCTTTTCTTTTTCCTTTGGACAGATGCATCTGTAAGCAAGGCAGCAGGCACTGGTGCTCTTTATTTTCACTTTTTGGTTGCCTGTCTGTCTGTTATGGAGAAGGTAATCACACAGAAGAGCTGAATCAGGACAAGCAGCATCCAGAACTTGCAATTAGAAGTTGTCAACTGTTGTCCATATTTATTTAATAAATACTTGAATTGCATGTATTATTAATAATAATAATAATAATAATTTACTTCTTTATTTATTCACCTCACTGTCCAGAATGTTTCTGAATGGCTTACAAGTAATAAAAATAGCAATATAGAAACCAATTATAAATATGAGAACAATTAAAATTATACAAGAATTAAAAATAGGTTAAAAACCACACATTCAAGTGGGAAGGGGGTGCTGCACCAACACTAACCACCTTCAATCTAAAACAGGGGTGTCAAACTGCCGGCCCACGGGCCAGATGCATCATGGCAAAACCATGCCCATCCCATTGCCAGGAATGAGAAAAAAGTCACGATACGTTGCGACATGTCATGTGAAATTGCCAGTTCAACACCCCTGATCTAAAACATTGGGGCCCAGGTCTTAAGGCTGTTAGGCTACGTCTTTCTTTCAATTGATCATATGAATTATTACAAGAGGTTGTAGATGGACATAAAAAGATTCCTTTTTTAAAAAAAGTTATTAAGACTTCACTTCATGTTAAACAAGTCTTCACAAAATCCTTAGGTTCTAACCTGTGAATACTTATTTGTGATTACGCCCTATTTTAGTTATGTATAGAATATGTGTGTGTGTGTGTGTGTGTATGATTCTATTTCATTTTTGCTTTTATTTTGCTTGCATGCTTCATTAGGCATTATTTTATGAAAATAATAAAATATTGTTTTTTTCTTGGTAAGTAGCATATTTGGTTTCCACAAACATGTGATGAAGGAGAATTACATATTAGATGCACAGATCTGCAACTAAATTCCATTTGTTTATTGTGCTTTTAATTATAGAAAAGGCAGACTGAAGTCTGGATTAAGCACTAAAATTAAAAGGCTCTTCTGGATGTCTACTTTTCATAACATAGGCCACAAGTAAATGCATAAAAGCCATCTCTATTTGGCACCATGAGGTAGCATAATTATACTGACACAGGAGTGTTTAGCAGTGGTTATGATACTGGCAAATCTCCTAAACCTCTGAAATACATTAGCATCTGTAAACTTTGGGTAAACTTGCTGGTTAACTAAATTTTGCAAATTACCACATGGCAAGTTTTAATTAATTATTCCTTCACCCTTATTTTTTTTGGAATCATGGATTTTGTGTCATGGGTTTGTCTTTGGGTTTGTGACTGAATATTCAGAGAGAACATGTATTACATATTTTATCTCCAGAATACTTTTCTTCTTCTAGAGAGGATTAATAAAGTTCAGATTGATATTTAAGAAGGAAAACAGTCCAAAGACAATATTGAACTCTGAGGAGCATCACAGGATTGCTTACTTCTGGAGATTACTTTTTCTCTCCTCATGCTGCTCTTTGAGGACAGAAATCTAGGCAAAACAATAAGGTGACCAACTTTTTTACAACCAAAAGGAAGACACAAATAAATTGAAGAAAAAATATCGTAAATAAAAGAAACATTGTATTTATTGCAACAATAATACAGAATACACTATAATATGATCAATGCATAATAAAAAAACATTTGTAACAATAACATTTTATATTGTAATTATGCTTACATGCCTATTAATTATTTAAATGAGTACTTTTCCATTGCATGAATATTTTTTGTCAATTTATCATCTTCTAACAATATATTGGAAATATCTGAACAAGAAATATCCTTCATATTGAATTTTACGGCAAGTGCTGCAGCTAGAGTGTCAACATTCAATCTCGATTTCTCACTTGTCCAAAAATCTACACGGTTGGACTGCGCGGGGGTGGGCGGTGGAGGCAGTTGTTGTGAGCCAGGAGCTCCAGGATGGCCACGTAGATGCGCAGGGTGAGGTGGTGGCAGCGCAGGTCAGCACTGCGTAGACCACCAGCTGGCGCAGTCCATGGAAGGTCAACTGCCCGCCGCGCCCCCACCCACAGCCGCCCCAACACCGCTCCCCTGCCGTGGAGAGCCGGCCCCGTGGCTTGCAAAGCACCAGCCGAGCCAGCTCCGGCCTTGAGCCGCCCCCCAGCACCACCGCCCACCCTGCGCATCCCCGTAGAGCCGGCCCCATGGCTCACAAAGGCAAAGCACCAGCCGCACCAGTTCCAGCCCTGCAACCGCCTCCCCCCAGCTGCCCCCCCAGCACCACCGCCCACCCTGCGCATCCCCGTAGAGCCGGCCCCACAGCTCACAAAGGCAAAGCACCAGCCACGCTGGCTCCGGCCCTGCAGCCACCCCCCAGCACCACCGCCTACCCTGTGCATCCCCGTGTAGAACCGAACAGGGAAGATCAAGAGAAACTTACCGCTCCAGTCTTCTCCAGCTATCTGCGGAACTAAGTAAGAGATGATGTAGTTGGGTAGCAGTGAGGGGTGCAAAGTTCCTGCAACTTGCACATGCAAAGTTTGCCGCCTGGGTGTTTTGGCACGCTCAGCAGCAATTCCTATTGGCTTTCGAAAGCCAATAGGGGGAGTAGCACAGCTCAGGCAAAAGTTGAAAAAAACCATCAAAAAAAGGTCCCGGAACGCCTTCTGGGCGTTCTATGAGGAAAAAAAAGCCCTGCAGTTAAGTCTTCAAATATAGAAAAAGAGGACATTTAGGAGGACATTTTCAAGTGAGGACAGAACTCCCCAAAGGAAGACTGTCCTCCCAAAAGGAGGACAGTATATGGAAAAGAAGGACATTTAGGAGGACACTTTTTGAGGGAGGACAGAACTCAAAAAAGGAGGACTGTCCTCCCAAAAGGAGGACGGTTGGTCACCTTAAAAACAATGACTGATTTCTGCTTCTGAAATCAGAATCAGGTTACACATAAAGAAATCTCTAGTAGCAAAAAATACTGTTTTACACTCTTTATTTCATAAAGGAAAAGCAAGACTAAACAGAAATTTAAATTACTTAGAATTATACATTTTAAGATGACAAAACAAAATTAGCTTTAATAATTGTTCTGTTATGTGATATTGAAATCTTTAATTTTCAGGGATTTTCTGGAGGTCACACTCCAAGGTTTAGGTTACACGTTACAAAACTTTACACTGAGAGGAAAAAATATTCCTGGATGAAGCCTCTCATCCTTTAGATATCAGATTGATAGGCAATAAGCAATAAATGAATGTATCTATGGCTTAGTTGGCAACAAAGAAATATATGCAAAAGATCCAGTTTCTGAGGGAAACCAAGAAGCTCTTTGAGGTGGTAGTTTGGTAGCATATTCTTTCTTCTCTGTGATTTGTGGATTCAAAGTGTCTTTATGGTCTTGATGATAAGGTTTTCTGACTTCATGTCTCTAGTAGTAGTATGTCTAATTTTGAACTAGTTTCTGCAATAGATGAAAATATTCACAAGTAAACATATATACATGGGACAAATGTATCTGCCATAAATCAGAAGAATGCTGATTATGCATTTTAATAACCTGTATAAGCCAGGTTTTAGTTTTTTTTCACCATAGGCTGACATGGCTCTCCTGTTATGATCTGTTAACAGATTACTGGCAATGTAATCCTGAGATGGCAGAAATTTAAAAATTTGCTGCATTTTAACCACCTTAATTGGTTAAAAGTAATCCTGGGTTGTATAAACAGAGGCACAGAATCAAGATCATGCGAAGTATTAGTACCACTTTATAAATCCCTTGTGAAACCACACCTGGAATACTGCACACTACAAAAAAGAAGTTGAGACCTTGAAAAAAGTTCAGAGAAGAGCAACTAAGATGATACAAGGCCTGGAGACTAAAACATATGAAGAACGGTGACATAACAGTATTCCAGTTTGAGAGGCTGCCATAAAGAAGAGGGGGGTCAAATTATTCTCCAAAGCACCAGAGGGCAGGAAAACAATGATTAGAAACTGATCAAAGAAGAGAAGCAACCTGGAATTAAGGAGAAACTTCCTAACAGTGAGAACAATTAACCAGTGGATGATCCCTCACTGGAGGTTTTTAAGAAGAGACTGGACAGTCATTTGTCTGAGATGGTATAGGTTCTCCTGATTGAGGGGGGGGGAAGGGGGGATGGACTAGAAGACCTCTAAGGTCCTTTCCAGCCCTATTCTATTCTATTCTATTCTATTCTATTCTACATGCATGATGCAATTCTGTGACGGGCTTACAGGCAGCGTATCAAGGGCTGCTTACAAAGTAACCTTGAATAATGCAGCTTCGCAGGTAATGACACAGGAAGAGCAAAGGTTGACACATTTCTCAATTCATAGAAAACGTGATTGAAAAGAAAACTCTAGACTAGAGGTTGTGGTACCGGTGGCTAACGAAGTGTATGTGAGTGTTGGCACGCACCACTCCTCCTTTTTGGGAGGTAGTTTCCAGAGAAGGCAAGGCAGAGTAATTACACGCAGTCCCGGAGATCAAGGTGTGATGGAGATCAAGGTGTGATGGTGGGCATGTCTTCTCTCCGTTAAGGTTCCAGCAGGGCTAAAGAGGAAAAAAAGGTGGGCTCGGTTCCTCCTTCGGTAACGCTATAACGCTAACCCGTCGGCCGGGCCCCCTTCCCTTGCTTGGCACACGTGAGCGTCAGAGAGGGCACTACTAGCCACGGCGCGAGCCAGGTGACACGCTTTACGGGTTAAATCCGGGCTACTCGACGCAAGCGTGACAGGCGGGCGACAGTTTGAGGCACCTTCGCGCGAGGGGGCGAGCAACTTCAGAGACGCGGCGGGCTCCTCCGCGTCCACTTCCGACCGACTCCCCGCACTTTTTCCCTCTTTCAGGCGCAGACACACCAACGCGCCCGGCGCAGGAGAAGGCGAAGCGTACGCCTTCTCCCCTCCCCGCTCCTACCACCCCTGCCCCCCCCCGCACTACTCTCGCCGAGGGACGGATCCGACCCGCACCGCACCGGCCACCTCTCGGCTCCCAGCGGCAGGCGGCTGAACCGAGGCGGGGTCACATGCTGGCCTTGTGGGTGGCCAGGCGCCGCCCAAACGACGACGACGACGACACGCTCCTCTCGGTTCTCGCACGAAATCGGGGCGACCTGCGTTCCTTGCCTAGGGAACCATTCGCCGCCGCCGCGGCTGACGGTCTTGAGGGGGGAGCGCGCTTGTGTGTGTTTTGGGGGGGGGGTTCAACGTTTCCCTTCGCTCGCGCCAGCGGAGCCCAAGGCCGAGCTGCCCGGATTGGCCGGGGAGGGCCGCGAGCTCCGCCCGCTGTAGCCGTGCTTGCCTGGCTTGGAGGGAGGGGAGAAGAGCGGGGCTGCGCTCCCTGCGCTGCCTAGTCTGGAGCGGGAGCCTGGCAGTGGCAGGAGCGGCGGCGGCGGCGGCTGCTCAGGAGCCGCCGGAGCCTGCTGGTCTGAGGAATCAGCCCCGTTGCCTTCCGCTCCGGGTGCGCGAGGCGAGGAGGGGGCCCGTCTCCACCGATCCATGACCATGGGCGACAAGAAGAGCCCGACCAGGTGAGAAGGGAAAGAAGTCGGGGCGCTTGGCGGAGCGGGCTAAAAAGAGAGGGCTTCTCCTAAGATGGAGGGACTGTGGAAAGGGAATAGAAGGGAGTATGCGCGGGTGCCACCAGCTAGAGCACCCATCTCCGCCTTATGCTCTGGGGAGGCGCTGTGTGTGGGGACTAGGCCACAGAGTGGTAGTAGTGGTGGTGGTGGTAATAGTAGTGGCAGAGGAGGGGGCTTTTAAGATGGAGGAAGTGGGTAAGGAAGAGAGCTTATTTGTTTGCCTGCCTGCCTGCCTCCCTTCCAGCCAGGTACAGAAAACTCCTTTTTCAGTGGTGTTGGGTGGAGAGGAGGAAAAGCTGGAGCTCCTTGTGTGGTAAGACGTGGGGAGGGGGAGGCTGCATTCTGTGCCCAGGGTGGCTCTTAAGATGGAGGGAGTGTGTAAAAGCAAAGCGGAGAGCAAATGTTTGTGTTCCTCTCTGTGTATGTATATGTGTCGGTGCCAGGGCTAATCTGGTGTTAGAGCAGCTATGGCGGCTCCTCACTCTCTTTCACACACATACATCTCCTCATACTGACTTCTTCCAGACAAAGGGAGATTTAACAAGGTAAAAGAGACAGACAGACAGACAGAGGGGGCGCATGGAGGGACACGCCTACAATCCTTTAAAGTACAATTAAGCTCCCCCTCCCCACAAAAAAGAGGGAGGGTTTCAAGCCCTCTCAGATGCCTTTCACCATCCTTCCTTTTTCCCTTCCCTTCTAGATTCACTGGCACTCCGTGTTGAGTGAAAATCGATTGTCTTGGAATTGAAGATTGAGAGGAAATGTTATCCTGTCCTCTCTCACTCAGGGATATAGTAATGGGGAAAGGCAGAATATGTATCTGGTGAGAGTGAAGCACAGTGTGGTTCAGGTTTATAAATGTTTTGCACCTCTTCCTGCTTCCCCTCCCTTTTAACTCTTTCCAAAAATGTGATTACTTTTTTAGCCAGAGGAAAAGAAAAGCAGGCAAGCAGAATGTAACATGAAATAGTCTTGTTTTATTATCTTGTTTCTAACACATTTTATTTCTTCTCTCCTTCTTTATCCTTCTTCATATATGCACTTCTCAAGACCCAAAAGGCAAGCTAAACCTATAGCTGATGAAGGTTTTTGGGATTGTAGTGTTTGCACCTTTAGAAACAGCGCTGAAGCCTTCAAATGCAGCATATGTGATGTCAGGAAAGGCACCTCTACAAGGTACATTGTCATATCTTCGTTCTTAATTGTAATAAAGTTGACTTGTTGATTTACCATAGTGGTAGCAGCGTGAAATAACTGGAAGGGACAGGAGTTTAAACTTGGTATTTTTTGTTGTGACCTTTCAGTAAAATTGAATATTTGTAAAGATATGTTTGATTGTTTATATGGCCCATTTATAAATAAAAAGTTACTGAGTATTTCTTGGATCATTTATATATAATTGGAAGCTTGGGTTTTTCTGTGCCATTTTGGTTTCAGGGATGCTGCCGAATAAAATAAGAGGTGGTAAGAGAAAGGGGCATTAACATCTTCAATTTATCAATATATTAGGATGTGGAATTATATAGTACAGTAAGAAGAGTATAAACATTCAGATTTGCATATGTGTTTTAAGTATACGGGATACTTTTTAAGTCTGTATCTTCCAGAATAGTATAAAGTATAAATATTAGATATAAAATGTGATGTTTACAACAGTGCTGTAGAAATAACAACAGATTTATGAGAACTTGGGTGTCTTTTACTCTGATTGTTATCCAGATTGTTGGAAATTCTTTCAAAATACTAAAGCTGTTATTGGTATTTCTTTTAGGTAGTTAAGTTTAGAAGTTACCTATTCTATATCCTCACAGAGTTTTTTTTATGATGAAAGTATTGTCATATGTTGTTGCAGACTTTTATGTTAATTATTTTCTATAGAAATAGTTATGTGAAATTTTAATTTGTAGGCAGTAGGTTATTTGGGGAGTTAAGTGACTTGGAACAGTTCAGAATGTGTTCATAGTATTTGGATATTTACTTTAATCAAAGAAAATCCTACATAAGTGAAAACTTTCTGTGACATGAGGCCTTTTTTGATTCCTGTAGACAATGTATTTATCTTTGCAAGTTTTATACTTTTCTAAACAGTACTGATTTAACCTTGTGAAAATAAGTATTGTAAAGAGACTTTAGTACTGTCACTGAATCCACCTGTAGCTCTTGTTTTCAAACCTGTTGATACTCATTTGTTCCTTTATTAGAATATTTTTAAGATTAGCATTTTAGACTACATTTTTAAGGATAGACAACCAGCAGCTTTTGGATGGATATAGTCTGTGTTTATGTTTACACTGTGCATGATTGAGACACCTCTTTGCAATCAAGTAATTCAACTTTATATGCTGGTACCACGTGTCACAAGTTGTCTGGATCTCTTTCTTTTAGCTTTAGCTGCTATGAAGGAGGCTGGAAGGCTATTTCTTCCAAATACAATTATTTTCTTATTCTCTACTCCCACCCTGCTTTGGACGATTGTTTCAGTTATGATATGGTATTATCTGGTTCTTCATGGTAGATTCTTACACACCCTCACCTCTTTCGGTCTCTTTCATACATTCCTTGCAGGGCTGTGTAAGAGCCCACTGAAGAGATGGACAGGAGTTTTGCTAAGTTCTGTCTGGTTGGCCTTTGTCTAAGGAATAAAAAAGTTCAACTAATTCCCCAGTAATTAGAGTTTTTTTGATCAACAGAACAGTTGACTGGGGAATGAATATGTATTTTTTACAAATTTATATAGCTGCCCATCTCACACAGAGGATTCTGGATGACATACAACAATAAAATAAAATTAAAAAAATATATAAAAACAATTAAAATATGATTCTTAAGAAATCATTTTTAAAAATGCAAATAATCAGATATAGGAAAGATAATAAATGAATAAAAGAGCTATCTAAAAATATCCCTGCTCCCCTGGGACCTCCAACCTGATGACACAGGCAGGTCTTGAGGGACTTGTGGAACATTAGCAGGATGAAGCTAGCCTCACTTTGGGAGGGAGGTGGCGAGAGAAGATTTCAAAGGCAGACCCTACAACAGAGAAGGCTTGCCTCCTGGGGCCACCAATGTAAGTTCCTAGCAGATGGGACACAAAACATGCCCTCTCTGCCAAGTCTAGTGGGACAGGCAGATGTAATTGGGGAGAGTCAGTTCCTCAAGTAACCTAGATAAATATAACTCAGATAAATATAGTCCATAATAAGATTGTATCTGTTAGGGGCAATATCTGACATCCTTTGGGTTAGTTAAATGAGTCATTGGTGCAGGGTAGAGAATTCATGTGAAATACATACCCCTTCATTCCATGATCTATTTCAGTGTGCTTCGGATATAAGACTACTGTGCTAACTTTCTCCATAGTTTTTTTTTAGGAACATTATAAGTACTGTCTTAATTTATTTTAATGTTGTTAATCAATTGTGATTTCTGCGTATATTAGATACACAATGTTTGAGATTAATAATTGTAAGCCCTTTCTATAGGGCTGGGCAGACTTTATTATGGAGATTTCATTCCCATGAGCAATTGCATTTATAAAGTAAAACAAACTTCAAGCCCTCCCATATATAGCTGACTGAAATGTTTCCGTGAGATGCAGAAGCTGATCGCCTCATCTATATAACTAAATTCAAGACCTCTTATGTGTCTTTATCAGTATAATGCATTTAGTATGTTTTTTGAAATAAAACAAATTTAAGGTAACATTATTTACAATGATACTCATGTTTTATATAATTCTAACTACCATAGAGTGAAACTGAATATGGCAAACAGTTTAAATAACAGTATGTATCTGAGCTTAAGATATGAGTTTTTAGTTGTGGCTTGGAGTTATAAGTTACTGTATATGACGTAAGTTTTCTAGGGGAATTTTTAATTTTTTTAATAGATACTTGTACAAAATGCCACACTGGTTGGCTATTACTCAGAATATTTACATCTAATGCAACAGTTGGTTTGCATGTTTTCATACAGAAAACTTTCCTGATAAGGTAATTTAAATCTAATTCAGCCTCTTTGTATTAATAGCAATCTTTAACAAATTGAGTGATATTATTGATTGAGAGATAGGAAATTTAGAATTGTGAAATTGGATTGATGCAAACAGACTTTTCTATCCCTTTCCTCCAAAATTATTTAGAGAAGTTAACGTGACTTAATGTATTTGATTAGGGACCCGCCTTTCTTACAGGCACCTCAAATAGTATTCATAGAATTCCCTTCTTGCACCTGTGCCTCCCCCTCCCACTTGTTGATTATGCTGGAATTTTAAAAATCCCTGAAGATGGGGTAGTGATATTGTCCATTAATTGAGCTATTTAGAGGAGATGCCTTGTATAGCATTGTGTAATCCATGTGTAGCATTTAGAGGAAGAGGGATATGTTGTGAATAAGGGGTGGACAAATGGCTTGTACCTAAATCTGAATTGAATTTAGAATTACTATTTGTACCGGGTAGTAGCAGCAGCAGGAGGATATATGAATTAGAGCAATCAGCTGTTCTAAAGAGTACATTAAACTACTT